TTCCAACCTCAATGATTCTATGATTCTGTGAAAGTCATGTTGGTCTTTGAGTATTTTTCATACTTACCCGTACAACTACAAATTCTACAGTTTCCAAAATATCAAAGCTGGACTAACTCTTCTGCAATTCACTGCATGCTCAACTGCATCTTTTTTTTTAAATCTTATATCATGTTTGTCACTTCTTATTTCTCTGGTACAGAGACCTGTCTAACGGATAGATCACAGTTGAAAGTTTAACATTTTTCTTCTTGAGACAGCTAACAGCTCTTGCATTAATTTAAAGAGTCCTGGAAATTTGTTGTTACTTTTTCTTCGTTTTACTGGTTTTGGGTTTTGGGGTATTTTTAAGAAAGTCTTTCATTGTTACCTCAACTTGAAATAGCTGCTCAGGCTCAACCACTGCAGGATTGGATTGAGTTTTTCTGTTTTGCCAGTACTTCTTGAGCACTTCTTTTACACTTTGAACATCTACTATTCTCTCAGGCTATCTGGCAAATATCTCTCTGAGGTATCTGAAGAAGAATATATTATTATATGCTATTACACTGTAAGGGGTTTTTTCCTCAAAGTTGTCCTTGTCCTTTCTTATTACAGTTTTAGATTTAATATTGTGGGGTTGTTCTGTATGAATAAGTCAATTTCTTTTTTCTTTTTAAGTTAGTTTTTCTAGACTTACATCCGACTGCCTCTAAAACAATATAAATAAGGAAGATTTGTAAGAAGCGGTGAAAAATTACCCTCTGTCAAGGTTTGCTATGGACCCAGTGATGTAATCAAAACCAAATGAAAATGAATTGACCTTATCTAGTTTTCAGTTTGGGAAATACTATATTTCTTCCTTATTGCCCAATTTGAATGCCACACAGACGAGTCTTCAGCAATTTTAATTTGGAAGTGTGTTCCTCTACAAAAAGCTGACAGCTCCTAAGCACTTTTCTTGTTTTCCTCTCATAATCTGTTTTAAAAGTATGATTTGTTTCTGGAATGACAGCAGCTACACGTTAGGACTGGTAACATAGCTATTACAGACAGTCAAGAGAGAGCTTTTAAAAGAGAGATGAGACACACACATGAAGCTACACACTTAATACAGTAGGAGTAGCACATTTGTCTATAGCCTTTGAAATAAACATTTCTGCATTAAAGAAATGCCCAACTTTCCCAGAAAGTTCTCTTCCTAACAGAAATAACCTATATGCTTAACAAGGATTTACTCAGGCCAAAGGCAGAGGGCTTTCTGAAGCTTACAAGCATTACTGTGCTGATGTTATGCATGTGAGCAATGTACTAATAACTGTTTGTTCGCAGCTGTGAAAAAAACCTGCTTGAACCATACTTAAGTCTTAACTTTGAATTACAGAAATAAATAGCAATATTAGAAACTTTTTAATGTCATGTTTATTCATTGTTGTTCTTCTACCGTGGTACATTTGTCTGCATGTTTCAAGGCTGTACAAAGACTGGTGTTAATGCTTAATACCTATTAACAGACTAATCCATTTTAGTCAATAATTTACCCCTCCTGCAACCAGAGATCAGATATATACCATGAACATGAGCAAAGAAAAAAAATAATGACAGAAGTTGTGAAAACAGAAGAAAAAACAATAGATAGGAAAGTAAACAAGAAAAAATAAATAAGCATGTGCATTATGGATGTGACTTAGTATTGTGTACCTTAATACTAAAAACAGATCTTTATAATATTGTGGCTATACTAACCATGAAGCAGATGAGAAACAGAGTACCAATGTTGTATTACTGGACAGTCTGGGAACAGAAGGGGTTACATCAAGAGACACAGGTGTCACTGATGCAGTATAGGTGTTACTGGTAGGGTGCTTGATCCTACAGACAATACTGGAATGGTGCTTACTACCATGGGTAACCTCCCAGGGCCAGATGGTGATGGTACAGGCACTGGCACCAGCGGGGAGATGGTTTATGTTTCCTGCTGCTTGGGGGCTTCTAGAAGCTGGTTTCGGTGCAGGCATAGGCTAGAAGTAGTCTTCTGGCTGCTCTGTACTGTCTTATGTGATTCACAAAGGTTGGCTCCAGGGCACTTCATTGAGTTGCAGAGATATCATCTACTACTTCTTTTCTTAGACCCAGTTCTTTGATGTGCTAACATCAGTCCTGGAATGAGTCTGGTCTATAAACCCTCACAGAAACAGTGGGCAGGCCAGTATACATCTGCAGGGGAAAAACACGCCTTCTTTGTGACCCCTTTACAGCAGCCTAACTGGGACAACAGCTGAAAGGCAAGGATGGTATAGACTCACTGGACAACAATGGTACTATGCAAGGTAGTAAGCATAATGCATGTTAAGATCTATGATAGATATAAACTTCATGTTGGTAGGAAAATGGGCACAAGTAGTTGAGTGCCACAACTTGTACTTATTTGTCAGTCAACTCAAAAAAAAGGTGAGAAGGCAGCCACAAGGAAAGAAGCAGGCTTACACAACCCTCTTCACCCACATGCTCCTCATCTTCCCTGCTAGAAGATGTATCTATGCTGTCAGTATCACATAAGCCTATTTTGTCCCAGATCTAATGACAGTTCTGCCTGAATGCAACCTTCTTTTAAAAAAAAAAAAAAAAAAAAATTAAAAAAAAAGCCAAGGCCCAAACAAACATGCAACTATGACAACTTAAACTGATGAAGAGTCTCATCTACAAAAAGCAGTGAATAACATCAGTTAAGAGATGGAGAACCCTCTGTAGCCATGCCATACTCATCAGGTCAAACACTTGATTTAACAGTGGTGATCACCGCATACCTAATATATACATCAGCTTAATCTTTTTTCAGAGGGTTCACAATTTTTCCCATGAAGAGTATATTGCTTTCCAAAGTTATAACCATTAGGAAGGGCCTGTTGAATGTAATGGTAGCTGGAACAGACATAGGCACTATTTCCATGCCTGTGGCTGGGGCCGCCTGCCTGTGGCTCCTGCCGCTTCGGTGCCAGTCTCATCCACCTTTACCACAGCCTTATGAATAGCCTGTGAAGAAACAGACATGTTACAAGTCAAGGGGGTACAAAACTAGTCAGCTAAATAAGACTTGCGCTAAAAGTACCTGAAGAAGCTACTGGTAGGAAGCAAGCACCAGATGGGAGTCCACTGCATAAAGACAGCAAAATGGGAAAAAGAATCACCAAGCTACCTGCAGCATATCTTTCCTAACACCAGAGATGAAAAGTTCACCCTTGGTGGAGGGCCATGTCCCTGCTAGTGAAAACTTTTGCTTTGTTTTTTTTCTTATTCCTTGCTCCCATTCTGGTGCAGACTTGTGGAGCTAAACTAAAGGTTAAGAGAGCACAATCATATTTAATTGTCTATTAAGAGTTCATATGGTTGAAGAATTAACATGCAGATTAGCACAATGAAAAGCATCCTGAAATTATGTTTTCCATGTTCCTTAATGTCTTGAAAACATGGAAGCAAAGGAGAAGGTCAAGAAATGGGAGGCTGGAGCAGAGAACATATGCTTTACTTGGCAAAATCAAGATATTCACAGACCCTAATTCATTAACTTCCACCTGAGGTCATAAGGCCAGTTGTTTTGTTCATATGAGATAATGAAATTTGCACTGACTGCCAGGTTTAAACTCTAGGTTTATTAAAACGCGACTTATCTGTAGCTTTTGCCTGGGCCTGGCACTAATGAGACTTTGCTCATAGGCTATAAGCCAAATGTTTTTAATAACCGCATTTTCTTTTCCCCCAAAGAGTTTAAAAGCAAACTGTTTTTTCTCTCCTCTTCCCTCCATAAACACAAGTAGTGATACATCCTACAGTTCCCTACTTGACCACAGGCAGGCTAAAGAAGGTAGACACAAACAGAAGCAGCAATATAATGACTGTAACACCACGCTGCAGGAGGGTACCAAGGTGTGGATATGCTATGATTTGGTCATGTCTTTTTTAAGGTTGCCCCATGCAGATCAAAAAGGCCTCCTAGATTATAAAATTACAAACTTGAAACCTGCTCCAGCTCAATTGCACTGGCAGAGCAAGTAACATGGGCAAAATAGTCTGTATGCCAACAGCCACCTTTTCATATGACTCAAAGCCTCTTTACATGACTTTTGCATCATGAATAGTTGTAAAGAAAGTGATGTAAGTATCAATAACCATAGGTTCATAAAACAAAAAGCAGTATGACTTACCTGGGAAATCCTGTGCTGGGGCTGCCCAGTGATCCCAGACAGGTCAGCCTTATCAGTGAATACATCCATGATACCCATTTTATATAAGATATCTTTTAGGTTATATGTCCCATAAAGAGTGAATTTTGGAAGATACACGTTTGCTGAGCTGCCAGAAAAGAAGCAGAAGAATATGGTGAAACTTTTGATCAGTTATCATGGTATAACACAGACACCCAAGATTCAAACTCATTTTGCTTCCTCCCCAAAGACATTTTGCTTGCAGGTTGTCTCTAGCCTACATGGGAAATACATAGTGACATTAATTTGCGGAGAAGAATAGAAGGCTTATATGTCGGCAAGCTGGTTGAGAGGATGGGTTATAGGTTGCTGGCTCGCAGTCTTCAGTAAGCCAGTGCATGAAGAGTGAGATTGACCTAGTGATTATTCAGCACAACAGAACAACTATACCTCCCTAAGGATCTTCATCTGACATTTTCAGAAGTTAGTGATATTTTGTGCATTCTGCAGGAAGCACCTTCATCATGCCCCATTACTGAGGATGCAGAAGAATCATCTTTTGAAAAAGGGATTCTTTTAGGTGTCTCAGGCTGGGCACAAAAACTTCAACACATCCAAGTTCACTGGCTACTTTTGAAAGAAAAAAAAAAAAAGAAAAAAGTTGGCCTTGTGCATTTATCATATAAATCTGGACAGAGATGTATGGGCGACAAAGTAGAAAACAAAATCACATTGACAGAATACAGAATATTGTTAGTCAATAGATAATTCCTTTTCTATGTCATGTCCAGTGTCTGATTTATTAATCTTTTTGGAGGGTGGGAGAAAGTGACTAGTTTGTTGCTTTCCATAAAATTAATCGAAGTTCTATATTTCTGACACATTCCTCTCTTGTTCTTTCAATAAGGATCTAACAATTCCTTTTCGAAGGTTAGAATCAACATTTACAGCTAGAAGCAGTAAAATAAGACAAATGTTAGTGATAATGCTGGCAGAAGGTGCTGTTTTCTGGTAAGAAAACAGGACAACTTAATGAAGCAGTCCAAAGAGCAAGTCATTTAGTGGACAAGTGGGTAGGCAAGGCTCCATACCTTCAGTGTAGCACAGCACCAAATGCCAAGTCTGGCAGGTACCAAAAAATGAAAGTGCTAGTGGATTGACAACAGGTTGCTGATCTCTTACTTCTGTCTAATTTCTGACTGTGCTGATTGCTGCCTTAAGAAGGATGCATTGAATCATCTGCCTTGCTATTACATAAAGACACTCATTCACTTGAAAGCAAGCCCCCACTTGCTTTCAACATGCAGGAAAGGGAAAGCCGTAGGCACACAGCAACAATGAGAACTCAACAGTGCAGGAAGCACTGGGATATGCTTTTCGGAAAAGAAAGTGGTGCTTTCTCCAGAGTTCAGCCATTAAATATAACTCAGTTGCCTGTACTGGCAATACTTCGACACTATCTCACGTTCAGCAACCAGCAGTTACAAAAATGTTTCTCTCAATGCCTCTGCAACGGTGTCAATTTCAGTTTGCAGAGAAACAGGGACAAGACAACTGACTCACAGTCCTTACATAATTCCATATCCTACATCAAACCCATGTTTAAGACCTCCCAGAGACTCCAAATAATAGCAAAGGCAATCAGTTGCCCTCCTGAAAACTACAGGGAAAAGGAGGAGTTTGTGTCATTAGTTTGCAGGAGAGAACTGCCATGATGAAAAACAGGGAGCTGCATGAAACAAGCCTGTCCTTGACAGTGATGCCTGTATATAATATAAGATTTACATCTCCCATTCATAGCTTTTAGGTAGATTATTCCAGTCTGGGGAGGGGGAAGAGTATGGAGAGAGGAAATATAGATCCCTCCAATCGCCATCTTATTTGTCCTACAGTGATTTTAATTACAAACCACGTAGCTGTTCCCAGAAGTTTCGAAACTATGAAGGTGCACAGAGAATTACATACTTTCTTCTGTCTTTTTTAATGAGAAAAAAATAGATTATTTTGATAAGATTTAGCAGTGAATCACAGTTAAGAGCATGACACATACTTTCTGTATAAGGATGCCATTTTTGTCTTGAGAATTGATCATCTAAAATATGATTTTCAAATATGTATGTAGGAAGGTCTTTAACATGACACATAAAATTCATGAATGAACACAAGGACTTGATTTTGTAAACGTTTTGCCTATGCTTTTACACATATTTTGTCCCATCAAACGCTACCACTACACATGACACTGAATAGAAAGAGTCTGAAGTTGTTTTTGTAAAGCCTATAACCTTTCACCTTCTAATCTCAAAGTTACCTTGAAGCAAATGTATCTTATTCCAATTTTGCCTAAGTCTTCAGAGAGTCTGAATACAGTGGCTCTGTTATGTGTCAGCCTTATATATGTATATACACCTTTATACTCTTATCGTTGAGCTTTGTCCTCACAATTGCCAAAAGTTGTTATTTCAGCATTAAATATGCAATTATTGATAACTCCTATAGGCAGAAAGGAAGAAACAGACAAGAAAAAAAGGCTGAAGAAAAGTGGTAGGGATTTACTTACAAACAGGAAAAGGCAGAAGACGTCTTCCCAAAAATGTAAGAAGTCTTAAGACAGAAACCTGAAAACTATGGAGGGTTGAAGATAGATAGAAAACAAAACATGGAAACAGCAGAAGTCCTAAAGCTGTGAAGGTTTTCACTTGTAGTACTGAATGTGAAAACAGAGGGACACTAGAGAGCCAGATTTCAACTTTGATTGGTGGCAATTCTTCTGTAGATTAAAACAGAATTAAAAATAGTATCCTGAACGGGTCTCATAGAACAGCACATTGAAACTGATGTGTCTCCTTGCCTACCATCTGAAACAAGAGCTGCAGAATTTTACCTTTTTGAGACTAATGTCCTCCACCTTGACATACGTTCACAAGACAGTCTTTTCTCTAGCTTCTTCATTTTTCCTTGATCAGGCAGAATAAAAAATGCCGAAGCACCACCTTTGTAATCCATTTGCACCACCGTGGAAGACAGCTGTTCATCATAGCCATGCTTGAACTGGCCCATTCCAAACATCATTGGAACTTCAACAGCCTTGTTCCCATCCACATAGAATTTGTTCTTCTTAGTGTATTTTGTATCAAAAGGTTTTTCCCATTGAGCTTGAAATATAAGAAATAGAGTTACAGGATATTTTGAAGACATGAAACCATATGACTTACCACCATAGGACACATTCACAGATGACAAAACTGGTACAGCTGGATCATCTTCAAAGACAAACCGGTTTGCAATGAACACTTGACTTACTGAATACTCAGAATAATTCAATAGCAACACATATTAGGTAGACTATAACGTAAAACATTCTCTCAGAACTTACAGCAGGCTGCCATAGTCTTCATTTAGATGAGAAACCAAGTGTTCTAGCATGCTCTTTTCCTTCACAACAACAATTTTAAGGAGCCTATAAAGCCCTCATATGATGCAGCCTTTAAATGAGAGCTCAGAATAAGAAAGATTATCTCCTTTCTTTATTCCCACACCAAAATAGACTTGTGAAGGGTGACATGAGGGATGAATTCTCCAGAGAAATGAAGGAATTCAGGTTACTTGCGGACATAAGAGGTTTATATCTCTCTTTAATTCATGGCAAATAATTCTACCAGATTGCTGGTTTAGAAACCAAACCAAAACAACAACAGAAACCTTTTGAAATGTCATGCTTACAATATCATATTTTCAAAGGCTCCTTGTTAATCATTGTGAAACAAACTGTCTACACTGAAAATCTGAAAGATTCTTAACCTCAGCAGAGAGGAATTTCTAATCCAAATTCTAGACATCAACCTCATCTGTTTCAGAGGCTGAGCAGATTAGAAAAGGAGGAAAACTTGGGGGATTGGGGGTTTTTTGTTTGGTTTTTAAGAAAGTGGTGTTGCTCTGTAATAAATTTTGCCTTCTAGAACAAACCTAATTTTTTATCAAATGTAGTACGTAAAAGTAGATCCATAATGTTAAGTAAAATAAGTGCTATCAAGAAAACCATGAAACAAGATGCAACACCTTTTGACTTTGGATTTCTATTTGAACAATGATTACTAGGCAGCTTGGTACAAATGGAATAAATATCTTCTGCTGTTTCCACCATCTGTGAAATAGACATAAGCAGCACTTATTTGGTATTTGGAAAGTGAAATGAGACTTAGATAGTGCATGTCTAGGGCTCAGAAAATATAAATTAACAACTGCCAATAACCTGGACATGGGAAAAATGGTAGTTTTATGTTTCTTCATTAACAGTGACGCCTTCTATCACCAGATATATAATAGGCAAGACTTCTGCCTTGATATGCTTAAGGAAAAAAAAAAAAAAAGCAGCACAATAAATCACAGAAACATGAAGGACACAAGACTTGAAACACTCAAACAACCTTGATCTAGTGCTCAACTCAGTTCAGAAAGAACTTTGCTTGATTAAAAACTGAATAGGATGTTAGGATTTTGCACACAGATTAGACAAAGTATGATACTTTGTGGTGACCAGGTTGGCTAGGGCATGATAAAGGACTGGTGTGTACCACGGTGGAATAGCATGCTCACAGGCTGATGGACAGGAAAATACTGCCAAAATTTTGCCTTTAGGGAAGGACTTCTACACTATGATCCACCACAAAAAAGGGGGAGGAGAGTCACCAGTACTGTGCAAGGAAGGTTGCAGTGCACAGAGAGTGGACAAGAGCCTAAAAGTATAGGCTGGTTATAGAGGTACTTGAGCTTTAATAATCCTCTCCAGGTTAACCCCAGCCTCTAGATCAAGTAATGTTAACCTACTCTCAATATCAAGATAAAAATCCTTATTATATTACTTCTATTAATGTTATTCTTTATTCTATTTTCTTTAAAATTGAAGAGCAGAAACTGAATCTCCACCATCTTTTGGAGCAGCTGGGAAATAATTTCAGTAATAAAAACACCATATATTTAGAACATGTGGAAGTTATTTGTAATGCAAAGTTATCTTTAATACAAGGTTTCTCAGGCTTCTGACCCCATTGTGTGTGTGAATGTATTGCTCCTTCAAACATATTTCAATCAAAGAAAAATCAACAGCTTTTTTGCCTCTTTTGAAAGATGTACCTGATAAAAACCTAGTAGATAAAAACCTACTTTGAAAACTCTATTTGAGACAAACAGATATGTATTCAAGAGAATTAAGAAACATCAATCAATCTGTATTTGGAACAGTTTAATTTAGCTGTGGCCAAATCTTGAGAGCTTAATGCAAGGCGCATAGACACATATAAAAAGCAAAACAAAACAAAAATATGGTTGTGAACTACTTTGAGGGGAAGCCTCATACTGGGGAGGACAGTGGAAGCATCCAGGTTAACAATTTAAAAAAAAAACAGTATTTCTTTTAAGACAGTAGCATTTCTACTACATCAACTCTGTTTCAGTTAAAAAGCTTAATGATATTTTCATCAGATAAGTTGCAGAATATTATTTTTCTGACTACAATTTCTTTGGTTTTATAATACAATAAAATGAAAGAGAGAAGGTTTGAAAGAAGACGTAATATGTGATTACATCTGATTGAGCCTTACAGCCTTGTTTCTCCTCCTACTAGATCAGAGGTCTGAAAAGCTCAGACAGGATCTGTTGACTGTATCTAAGGTGACTGCACAAGTTAATTTAGAAAAACAACCTTACTGTCACTAGGCTTGTATCTGATACTGGTGAGTCCATCTCTTCACTGGAGAATATTAAAATACGTGAATCAAAAAAAAAAAGTTGAAAGGTTGAAAACCAGGACAACAGCCATACTATCAGTAACGACATAGTTAGTGGAAAACAAAACCAGGAGAACATGAATGTGAAAATAAAGCTACTGTTACGTGTTTAGCTTTGGATACATGAACATACTCAGTAACAGCAAAACTATTGAGTAAACATATTTTTTTTCAGGTAAGATGCTAAATTTTACTTTAACAGTGTTCTTTTAATTTAATTTAATTCTGAACTAGGACTAGACGTTTACTTAATAATGTCTTCTCCAAAGTAAATTTCACTTTATCTTCACCATGAAAGAAATATGTGTATTGGAATATATAGGAAAATTTGCCTTAAATTTTGCTAGGAATTATCATCACTTTCAAGCAGAACATAATTTCCAATAGCTTTGTTTATAACTAAGTGTAAGGGAGGACCAAAAGGAAAACAAGATATGAGTCCTTCTGCAAAACCATGTTGCAAAAAAAGGTGATGAAGTCCAAGACTGACCTCAGGAAATAATATATTAAGTAGGAGAATATAATATGTATATCTTACCATTAAAATAAATATAGCTAATAAGGAGAATTTCAGTAAGTGGATCAAGGTTATTTATGAGGTCCCTGATTTTCCCATTGGTTCTTCCTGCTACGTATTCGTTGATCTTTATCTGGGCTTGATCAGCCCTCTTGAAGTTCATAGGGTAAGCTTCTCCTTCATAGAAGTTTCTGAGATTACTTAAAAATTTATCTTGTGGCTTCAGTCGGTCAAGCACAAACAGGACATTTCCCATATTCAGCTGTAACCCCTCATTCTTTCTGTTCACCATTTGCATGAGTTGACGATAACCTTCATGTATTTCATTTTCAGAAATTTCACGTGGGTTAAAGCTAAGGACTCTGAGAATCTGTGACAGAGTGTCTGATCTGGCACCCAGAGTCATCATTGCAAAGGCAGTAGAGATGCTCAAAGGAGAGAAGAAAACATTCCCACTGTTTTGTCGAGAAGAAATCTCTTTGTAGAAACAACATGCAAACTGACAAACACTGTTCCCTACAATGAGCTGTGGCATGTTTCGGTTTTCTTGGCCTCTTTGATTTTGGTTTCTTACACCTTGGTGATTAGGCTCATAGCAATAACTGTTGGAATGAATCCAAACGATTAAAAGACATAGGAAAAATAACATCTTCATGTTTCTATGACTCTGTAAGAGAAGAAAATAAAAATGACATTTGGCTAAATCTTTTCACCTTGTTCTTAGCAATAAGTCAATCTGTTCACTGTACAGAGCTAGCTTGGTACCAGTGATTCCAAGCTACTTGAATTCACGAATATCAGCTTTCTATTTCAAGGAAGCAGACTCTGGAAAATTACTCAACCTACTGAAGAAGTTATGAAAGAATAAAAATTAAAGTCAAGGAGTGATGAAGTAATATCAAAGACGCCCTCATTAAGGTTAGGCTACAATTCCTTTGAAACTGTTCTGTATCCAGTGTTCTGTTCTCAGTGTGGCTTTAAGTTAAAAAAAGCTGTAAGTAAAAAGCATAGGTCTGTAGAGCAGAAAGTAAGAGAGCTAGTCAAGACTAGTCAATTAGATTTAGGAAGAAGAAAAATCAAAGCAGAAGAAAGGCATAATATTCCTCCTTTGTGAGAAGTAAAATACTGTATGTTTTTGAATGAGCTGTGTGCAAATGTATAGGCAGGGACCAGAGAGAAAGTAAATACATTTGTTAATGAGGAAGTGATGAACTTTTACAGTGATTCCATAAAGTCTGAACAATTGAGCACCATCGGAAAAAAAAAAAAACCCCACAAAAAAACCCCACCACAAAACAAATGAACAAAAAAACAAAAAAAAAAAAACACCCTGAAGCAAAAAACCCCCAAAAAACAAAAAACAAAAACAAAAAAAAAAAACCCAAAGAAAATCAAACAAACTTCCACATTCCTAAAAGAAGGGAGAAATATCCTTTGAGCAATTAGGAAGATATCAAGACCCTGGAAATACAGTGTTGGTCAATAAGGAAGGGAAAATCAGCATGTATATAGAACAGCAAACAAGTGTGCCTGTTACATGCAAAGGCATGTCCAGCTCAGTGACTGGACTAAATAACAGAAAAATAATAAGAAAAAAAAATAATAGAGGAAACTTTGTAACAATCATGGTGTTTATCATCAGAAAGATAGCAAAGGGTGGTTTTGGCAGAAAAAGCTGCCATGTTAAATTATGAAGACAGAGGAGTGAATTCTGGAGGAGCAAAGATACTAAAACACGTGGATAGACAGGAAAGCCTTTTCTAGAGCAGCATGGAAACCATTCATTTCACATCTGTGGCAATACTTTTAACTCTATATATAAATTAACATTGTACCACACTTGGTTCAACAACTTTTGTCAACAGGCAGAAGGAAGAAAAGATATAGAATATCTGGAAATCCAGAACATCCTCCTGTGGTACATAATCACTTTATCTACAGAATCTTTTATAAAATAAAGTACTCTTTAGAGGAAAATTTAAGGATTTTCAAAGGGGAAAAATACTTTAGGTTTCTGTCTTGCAATGAGAAATGGTATTCAAACTTCGCCCTGTAAAATCATTGAATCCTTACCAGAGCCCACCATGACCCCATATTTGTGTTCACTTTCCAGTGTCTTGGTTCTCCAAAATCCATTGAATTCAGAATGCTGATCTCTGATTTCATAATACGCTATATATATATATGCTATAAATATTTTTTAATTCACATCTCATTAATAGTATCATTATAGCAATATTACTATCTCTTGGGGGGGCCTAAGCCCCATGACAAACCACTTTCAGACAGTTCACTTTCGTATCTAGAACACATTTAAATTTGACCTCTTTGCTTTGTGATTTGCGATTTGCCCAACCATCACTCTTACTCTATTTCTTTTAGCCTTTATCTCTACCCAGAGTTTCTTTTTTTCCAAACTCTCTAGAAGCTTTAGAGAGCAATCCTTAAGTCTCTACTTCCATTTAATTTCATGCAACATATTTGTCATTATCATCCATTTACTTCATTTAACTCTCTAAATCATTCAGAGATGCAGTTTTCCTGAAGAAAGTTACACTATACAAACATGCCTATCTCACAGAGGACTTGTCTTTTCATTTAAAAAAAAAAACCCAAAAGAATAACAAAACAATAAAAAAGTTTTAAATTGCAGCTTGAATATGAATGTGGTAATTTCTCGACTGATTATTCAAAAATGCCTTCCTGCATATAATGTTTAACAATTTTTCCATGGAAAAAAAATGGATTACTTACGATGAAGTCAAAAGGGTCCTGTTGTATTCACCAGGTCTGCACAGGTCCTTGCTCAGTTGTTTATGCTGTTGAACACAAAGCAGGGTATCCTCTAGTAAAGGTTAAGATCATCTAAGGGCTGTGACTCACACATTATAATTTTAGAGATTAGGTAGTGCAAACAATGTTGAAACTAGTTTTACTGGACACCTAACTTTGCTGAATATATGTTTCACATGTGACTTCTTATTATTCATGACTATCTGATCGCCCTGGTTAGATTCAAACCAATTTTCCTCAAAATGAACCTACTGTTTCTTAATATCAAACATTCATACACATCTTAGTTACCCAAATCTGCTATTTTATGAATAAAAGAGACATCAGAGTTAGTAACTACAAAGGAATATCTTGAACATAATTTCCAGTGACTATAGCATCGCTGCCACTAAGGCAGGAGGACAAGGCTTGATGCACTGGGACAATCTGAATTTTTGTGACATAGTCTTCTTGTCTTCTGCATATCCATGCCTGGGCTTGATTGTCTCCAGATGAAGCCAGTCGTGATTCTAATAGATGCAGGGCTTAAAACACCATTTTGCTACTCTAACAAATGCGGCTGTAAATGTGCCTGACTATCCACTCCCACACAGGGAAGCTGCTGGCAACAAGAGCTGTGATAGCAACTCCTGGGCCACTTGCATGACCCTGTGCCTGGGAAGAAGGAATGTGGCTGGGATGCCATTGCACACAGGTGATCCCAGTTACAAGCATGGCCTGAGGACAGGGGGCGGAAGCCTAAGAACATGAGTGTTAAATAGAGCAAGTCTTTAGACCAGCTTACTATCTTGTGACCTGGGACATAGGGAGCAGGCCCCTCTGATCATGTGCCAAGTTCAGCTGGGTCAGATCTGACAGCCTGCTATCCTGTGCTCCACTCTACTCACTACAGTAAACTCCTGCAACTCCAGGGGCAAGCTGATGGGCACAGCATGACAGAAACATTGAAGAAGGGAACTCTGGAGGCCATATAGACCAACTCCTTGCTCAAAGCAGGGTGAGTTACAGTGAGTTGCTCACAATAGTGTCCAGCTGGGTTTTGACTTCCTCCACAATAGATGGAGACTCCACAATCTGTCTGGGCTACCTGTTTCAGTGTTCAATGACACTTGACTAAAATAGTTTTTTTCTCTACATTTAAATGGAATTTCTTGTATTTTAATTTGTACTTACAGCCCCTTGTACTGTTACTGAATCCCATTGAGAAGAAGCAATCTCTTTCTTTCCTCCTCCCATCAGAAATCAGGTATTTATACACATTTGGAAGATACCTACAGGCCTTTTCTTGTCTGGGCTAACCAGTTCCAGCTTTCTCAGCCTCTCCTTAATATGCTAGCTGCTGCAAACCATCAATCACCACTGTGGCACTTTACTGGACTTAATCCACTATGCCCCAGTCCTTCTTGCCCTGAGAAGCCCAGCACTGGATGCAGTACTTCAGATGCGTAGACCAGAGATGAGTAGAGAGGAAGGATCACTTGCCTTGACCTGCTGGTGATACTCTTCTTAATGCAGCTCAAGATGTTCACTGCATTTCCTGCAAAAGCTTACTGCTGGGTCATGGGTAACTTGGTGTTGAGCAGGAGTCCCAGACCCCCAAGCACAGCATCTCATGTCTCCATTTCTAAAACTAGGATAATTTCTCTCATTTTCTCTTCAAATTGCAAGGATTCTTGGGGAGGGACCAACCTTTCCTATACACAAACTAGATGGAATGTTGATCTCAATGTTGTTTATAAGCCTGGTTGAAATGCTAACCACAATAATAACTCAGCAACATTTTCTGGGAGACAAAGTTGTAACCAGCGAAAGTTGTTGATGATTACGACCTATCAAACGACTCAATAGATTGCAAGAAAACTCTCTTAAACAAGTTGCTTATGAACTAAATCTTGAGAAATAGGAGGCTTTGAGGCAATATGCTGGACTCGCACATCATCTGTTCTTCACACATAGCCTCACCTGAAAGAGTATTTGAGATACTATTTTTGCTGTTTCTTCTATAAGAGCCAAGAATCTCACTTAGAGCTAACTTTTAATAATGGGCTGCAGTTTTCATAGTACATAAAAACTGATTTCTGATGAAGGAAGGAAGAAAGCCCAATTAAATACAGACGCCATGCTAATGACAAGGTGATGGATGAATGACTAAGCTAGATTTGAACACACCTAGACCACACCTCAGGACACTTGCAGGAGAAAGCCTGAGACTGAACATGGAAAAGCCTGCCCTGTGATTGGAAAGAAAGCAGAGAAAATCAGTACAGGATCAATTTATATGAATAATGTGAATCTCTGGACAGTAGTATCAAAGCAAGTCCAAATTTGTTTTTCATGTGTTTCCAGTGTTGAGTTATGAGAGGAAGGAAGGAATGTATAGGAAAAGGTAAGAGTTCCTGACCCAACTGCATAATTTCTGTATGTGATGAAAAAGTTTCAATAGCTATAAACAATCTGTAACTATAAGCAGAATACTGATTTACAAAGATTTCACACATTTTGTTTAGTTTTGAAGACTGGGATATTCCAGAGTAATATTGCATGTGTTGAAGATATGACATGGATAGTGAACAGGAAATTCCCCCTCATACACTGGGGACTTTTCTGAAACAGAGAAAGAGTGAAACAGAGCTAGCACTGAATTGTTTGTATGTGCTTAATCCCCAGCTGGCAAAATTTAGTGTAAATACATTTGCTTTGAGCAAAAAGGTTTGAAGAGGTTTGTTTATGCAAGATTCCTCT